TCTCTGGGGCTTGTGGTGGTGGGCGTCACCACTTGCCGCACTTTCCCTCAGCCCCTCTGCTCCCCCAGGCAGGGCGGGAAGAACCTTCTAGAAGCCTGAGCTCTTCATTCAGCCTTCACGCGGCGACAGCGTTGAATTCTCAGCGGTGGTCAAAGGAACGACCCCCCTCCCCCCCTCCAATGACTCAGGCTCCCTCTCCTTCACCCACACAGGCCCGAGCACCCATGGTAACTCCCCTTAAAGGGCCCAATGAGAGGTTTGCCCAGCTTTTTACTTAGCGTCTCCCTCACCCCTATCAGTGGCCCCACCTGGAGGACTGGGTGCCTCAGGGCCACACCTCCCCTGGTCCCACCCCCTCAACCTGCTTCCACACCTTGTCCTGTCTCCTTTGCTGCTCTCATTTGCCGCCTGACCGGGAATGGGGCGCCTGCAGGCACACCCTAAGGTGATGGCTGGAGGGCGGGAGGATGTGTTGCCCCCCCCCCCCATCACTTTAGGGCCTCCCTGGTGGCCGAGGGCTCCAAAGTCTCAGCACTAGGAAGCTGTGGGCAGCCACGGCAGCACCGCGTTCCATCCCGGGCCAGGGAGTGAGCCCCAGGGCGCAGCAGACCTGTCCTCCGCTGCTCCCCTCAGCAGTGGATTTCAGTGGATCCGCCTGTTCTGCTCTCCGCTCTGTCTGAGTTCTCTCACCTGCTGCACCTCACCTTTGCATGTGTAAATAAAAATATAAATTCCAAACCTCTCCTCAGCACAAGGATTATTTTGAACCAAGGAAGAGGAGCGTCTGAGCTGGACGACCGGAGCTGGAACTCTGGACGGCGCCCACCGACCTGGCCAGGAGAAATCCCAGTTTATCCTAAGGTGAGGAAGTCAGGGCTGGGCTCTGCGCAGACCGGGGCTGACAGGACGTTTGGCTTCCTTGGCGCCTCGTCTACTCGGCTTGCGTTCCACCAGCCGCCCTTCCTTTCCCGCCTCCGGGTCTGTTTCCTGAGGAAGGCTCCGTGAACTTGACACTTGATTTGCTCTTGGCCTATCTTTTCCCACAGAACCTCCACCGACAGCTAAAACGGGAAACTTCCTGCCCACCACAGCAGCCCTCTTCCCTCCCTTGCAATAATCTGCTCTAGGAAAACCCTGTCCTGACCAAGCTGGGGTCAGGGTCCTGACCGTGCTTAGCACACCGAGCCCTGCTGCCGCCCTGAGCCCTGTCCTCAGGCTGCTGGAAGGGAGGAGCAAGGCTGACACACTGGTGTGGAAGGACGCAGAGGCCGTGCAGAGGCGACTTGGTCTTGGAGGCCTCAACAACTTTGGGGGCTGAGTTGAAAGGATGACACAGCTGTTTTTCAGGGGCTCCCCAGGCCCCGGCTGACAACTTGCACTTGCGCATGAAACAGCAGCAGTGACGGTTAATTAGAATACGGTTTATCAGAGAAGTGTAGGCGGTTCCAGCTCTAAGACAATAAAATGATGTAAGCAAGATTGTGTGGAACTGTTGGGAGATTTCAGTAAGAAAAAGCTAGGTGGGACCCGAGGCCTGGGTCTGTGAAGGTGGCAATTTGGACTTGTCCTGGGTTCTTTCGGATAATCCACACACTCAATAGGAACTGATTAACGTTAGAAAAAAAAAAGAAAAAAACAAAACACTTCAGGGCGGGCGTGTAACTGAGGGGCGGATAAGAGGCCGGGCAGCCCCGCCAGGCCGGCAGGGCCTGTGTCCAAGTGCGGCCCCGGGCCTGAGTCCCGCCAGGGCAGTGCGTCTTCCTGCTGGCGCAGCCGGGCCCCTTCCCGAAGGAGTCTCTCCTGCTTTCAGGGGCGCAGAGGGGCCGCACCCTTGCACAGGTGGTGCTCAAGTAACTTTAGTTCAAAATGAGGGGCGCGCCCAAGGGCGAACGCCCGGCAGCCGCTCAGCCCGGTCTTCC